CAACCAGGCGTTTTCCCTGTTATACATAACTAGAGGTGTGGTGCATGAATTTGTGAACTGGTGGGATCCAGTCCCCCCTCCCCACCCCCCATTGGGGCCGATCAGGGCCAGGGCTGTGGGGGGTGAAGGGGAGGGGCCACAGGCAGTTGGCCAGCTGGCTCCGCCCCCTGGTTGAACTCCTGATCGAGGATATTAGGCTTTTATTATATAGGATTCTGGGATAAACATCTTTATTCTGTATTCTGTATTGGACGTGACACATTTAGTTTTGGATTTTGTCACTTGACAATTAAAATCCAAGGAGAAGAGCATTTCTTGCTAAGCAAATAAGTTGCATTTGTGTTGTTCTCTGTGGGGTTTTCTTTTTTCCCAGAAAATATTATTTTTATTAATTAACTGTTGACATGCCTTATAATGCATTTAAATATATATTTTTTTGCTTTTAGAATGTCACTCTTTGAGCAAGAACAAAAAGAAAATTCAATCTTTTCATCATCATGAAAGACAAAAATCTTTAGTTATGGCTATTGATAGTTTGGAAAACTTTGTTTCAAAACTCATTTTTGCCATTTTGCCATATAAAAATTTAGGATTGCTCTCAAATCTAGGACCTTCTGTCAAGTTGTATTTCTTCATGTCTACGCTATAGGTTCTCTGATATGGAGTTTTCTCACCTCGAGACTTATTACTAGCTCATTGAATTGTCAGCATTCATGGACCAGTGCATCATGGCCGATGACCTTCTCTGTCTGGCTTAATGTCCTGAGTGTTGGGCAGGCATCTCTCACCAGGAAGCAGTCTTACTGGTTTCTGGTCTCTTCTCTTTGCGTGGCTGCCCTGCCACCTGGCCCGGGTTCCCAGTTCTCCCTCCTCCAACATTCTGCACCTGGAAGCCAGCCTCCCAGCCAGGTTCCTGCCCACCTTGGTTTTCGGAAGCTGCTGAAGGACCTACTCAGTCAAAACAGGCCATTAATAGAGAAGACCCCACGGAGGACCTCGCCTGTAGAGAACACCCAGCCCCAGGGCAAAAATGCAAAACCAGTTATTTTGTAGAATGTTCTGCTGTGTGGGTCTGTTTTATCGCTTTCTCCTGGTGACATTTAACTTTTGCCTCCATAACCTGGACAAAGGTGGGCTAAAGTCTTGATTAGATTCTCATTCCTCGTTTTGGCAAGAATACCATTTTGAAAATAAAAAATAACAGTGAACTTCACTTCTCTTTGCCCCCAAAGCTGTAGCTGAAGCTGTTTTCCATCAAAGAGCAGCTTCTGTGTTTCTGACTGTGAGCCCTGAGAAGCTCTGCTGTGTGCCGCACGCTGGGAGTTCCACGGAAGACAAAATTTCATAGAAAACGCAGACTCACAAAGTTCGACCACTGAGAAACAGCGACAACTAAATGCTGTCACCAGCATTCCCCCTCAAAATTTTAAAAAAATATCATAATGCTAAATTTAAAAAAAGAATAAGGTAAAATAATAAAAATAGAAAGTTTTAATATACAAATGATGCATATTTTTTCAATTGAGAAATTTAATCTTAGAAAAAATTTCTTTCTCTTTCTCCATTTCAACAGACTAGTGACCAGTCGCCATGGGCTGTGTGGGCTTTTAAAGTTTAATGTTGCGTTTTTGTCCAGAGCTTTGCAATTTGCTGTGTATAGAAGCTCAGAGGAAGCCGCACAGGCCCTTCTCAGCAGTATTTCATGGCCATGTTGATTCCATCCTCTGAAAACTATAAACTCACCTACTGCTCCACAGGTAGGCTGCGCTTTGGGACACACCTGAGCTCTGGCTACACTTGAAACAGGTCACAGGATCTCAGCATCGGGAGGAAACCCGGAAGTCAGGCGTGTGGGCCAGAGCACGGCCCCACCGTGAAATGCAAGGGTCACTCGTCTCTGTTCCAACAGTCCGAGGACGGAGACTTGGAAAAGCAGCTGTTAATTCATAAGTGTGCTGACACTTGCCACCTGAGTTCCCATCCTTGTTTTGTCTTCCAGGTTACACAGACATCCAGATTCCTTGCCCACCACAGGCACTTAATCATTTTTTAAAAACAGTTATTATCCGATGCTTGCGGATTTTGTTCATCTCCTAAAGACAAGTGCAGTGGAGATGAGATGATCTTGAGTCAGGACATGCTGGGGGCCACCCCAGACTCTCGGGGGCTTTTGGAATTTGGAAAGACAGTTGTCTCCCGTAAAACCTGGTTCTTTATGGAAAGCAAGGCGATCCCTATTTTGCAACTTACAGCCTGGACATTTGACTCTGTTCTTTTCATTTCTACTTTAATAATCCTAACATTTCCCAAAGCAATGACTAGCCTTGCCTGGATCTAGGGAGGGTTGCATATAAGAAAGTCAACAAGAGCCCTGGCTGGGTGGCTCAGTTGGTTTGAACATTATCCCATCCACCAAAAAGGTTGCAGTTCGAGCTCTAGTCATAGCACATACCTAGGTCTTGGGTTCCATTCCCAGGTGAGGCGTGTACAAATCGATGTTTCTCTCTCACATCAAGGTTTCTCTCTCTCTCTCTCTCTCTTTCTCTCTCCCCCCCCCCCCCCCCCAAATCAACAAACACATCCTCAGGCCAGGATAAAAAAAGAGTCAACAAGAAATGAACACAGCTCTTTCTCCGTCATTGAGGTGCGTGCATTCACTTCTCCTTCACCATGTCTTCCCACAAGACTTTCAGGATCAAGAGGTTCCTGGACAAGAAACAAAAGCAGAATCGGCCCATTCCCAGTGGATTCAGATGAAAACTGGTAATAAAGTCAGGTACAACTCGGAGAGGAGACATTAGAGAAGAACCAAACTGGGCCTGTGAGGAATCACACGTGAGAGATGACTCACATATTTATGCTGTATCCAGGTTGCCTATACCATTAAATGATTGAAAAGATCACTACTGTCTGAACAGTTGGGGCTTTTTAATTGGAAAATTAATGGACTCATGGTTTTGCTCTGTTGATTTTTTTTCTGCAGTAGAAGGTTGGTTCAGTAATAAATGTGTGAGACCTTTTAAACTGAAAAAAAAGAAAGAAATGAACATACTAGTATATAGAGAACAGACTGACAGCTGGGGGGTGGGTGGGAAGGGTGCTTGCAGGGCTAGGTGAAAATGGTGAAGGGATTAAGGAAAACAACAACAACAATAACTCATATACAGGGACAATAGTATGGTGATTACCAGAGGGAAAAGGAGGGTGGGAGAGGTAAAAGAGGTTATAGGAGGGATAAATGGTGATGGAAGGAGACTTGACTTGGGGTGGTGAAAACAATACAATATACAGATGATGTATTATAGAATTGTACACCTTAAACCATTGGTTCATATAATTTTATTAACCAACGTCACCCCAATAAACTCAATTAAAAAATAAAAAACAAGAAAGGAACATTATCATTCCAAAAATACGGCCCTCATCTGAAATTAAGGGGCTGGGAGGAGAAGGGAATGAAGAATTAATTTAATAGGTATAGAGCTTCAGTTTTGCAAGATGAAAAATTCTGGAGATGGGTGGTGGTAATGGCTGCACAGCAATGTGAATGTACTACATCAAACAATAGAAAGCACAAACAAAAGGGGGGGAGGAATATGTAGATGCAGAGCTGAGGTAAAGAAAATAAGAATAAAGTATTAGGGGAATAGGGGGAGGAAAATGGTTTAAAATGAAGAAGGGAGAAAAGAAAAGAAAAAATGTTTGAAAAGGAAAATAGAGGAGAAAGCGGATAGACCTAAAGTAAGAAAAAGGAAAAAAGATGAGAAATCAGGAGAGAAAGAAAAGAAAAAATAATGAGTAGTAAAAAAAGAAAACAAATGAGTAGGAAAAGGGAAGAGGAAAATTAGATATATGAATGAAACAACAGAAACTAGAACCGTGGTTGGCAAACTGGGGCTCTCGAGCCACATGCGGCTCTTTGGCCCCTTGAGTGTGGCTCTTCCACAAAATACCACGTGCAGGTGCACGTACAGTGCAGTTGGAACTTCGTGGCCCATGCGCAGAAGTCGGTTTTCGGCCTGGGCGAGTCTATTTTGAAGAAGTACTGTTGATATTTGGCTCTGTTGACTAATGAGTTTGCCGACCACTGGACTAGAATAATAACAAATCAATAATGCAGACAAGAAGATAAATTTTAAAAGGAAAAAAAGAAAGTGAAAAAAAATGAAGTGGTGTTCTTTTCAGCAGAGTCTGGTGCCCCCTGGGAACTCACTTTGGATCCCACCTGTCTGCCCACTCTGGGCTTCTGCGAGGCCCTCAGGTGCTGACCCTGTCAGGCACTGTCCCCTTTGCTTTCAGCAATCTGCTTGAAGCTCCCAGTGATCCACTGAACCACCGCTGGTGTCTGTCTCCGCAGTTGTTGGCTGCAATCAAGAGGGGCCAGTCTGTCCTCTAAAGTAGGTTTGTTAGCAGCACGGGGCCCTGGGCTGGGTCTGCAAACTTCCCCTGTTCCCCAGGCTCCACCTCTACCCGCCTTTGCCTGTCAGCCAGCTGTCAATCTTAATCACTCAAAAGTCTGCTTCTAAAGG